TTGCTATTGCAGTATCTATACTTTATTCAAAATTACTAAATACCAAGCTTCCATTATTTTTTTTCTATCCTTTCACTGCAACTTCACCCCTTAATCGTAAAAGAGAAAAAAATGTTTTACCAATTGACATGGTTTAAAAAAAAGAAAAAGTTTATCAGCAAATTTCAACATGAATAGGGACGGGACGTCCCTTTTTCTTTGTCACCTATCGAGGGCTTCGGTGACTTACTTCCGTATATCGATCTATCATCGATTTACCCCCTTTTTTATCTCTTATTAATCCCCTCCGTAACCTCGTACATTTCAACTCACTCATCTTCACTCTAGTCATCACAGAATTCACCAAATTCACGTTATAATTCCTTCCCATTCGAGAACTCGATTCTCCATCGAGCGAGTTATAAACACGAGCGAGGAAAGAAAGAGAGGCAGCCCGGAGGCTGGTAAACGCGTAATCGGTCGATTGACCTGGATCTCTCTCCTCCGTGAATCCAGCCCGATTTCCTGCGAGTTCTTCTACGACGGAGAACGGAAAAATGGCTCTCTTCTAGAAGTCGAGGGAGCAGACGACGGTATTCCACCTTATGGAAACGTAACGCGTATCGAGTTGCCTACGTTAGCGTGTACCGTCGTCCCCTTGATAAGCGAAAAATACCGGCGGTTGCATTGTTACCGAACCCTAAAAGCGACCACGAAGGCAGCGACGCCAGAGCTTAGCACTCGAGCACGTACTCGCTCCGACCACTTTTCTTGGCCCCTCGAAATTAACGCCGACCACTCAGCCGTACCATTTAGTGTGTCGGGCTATGCCAGTCCGGCTCGTTCTCCTTTTCTTTCTCCACACACCCCCTTCTTTGCACTACTCTTCGTCGCCGATACGTGTCATCTTTTCTCAGCATCCTCCTTTTCTTCCTTCCTCTTTAATTTCCCTTTCGACGCGCGCAAAAGTCACCCGCCTTTTCCTTTTCGTTGGTAGACACTGTACAAGGGGTTGTAGATTTATTTCCTTGCGTTTCTTGCACTCTTTGTGTGGTATTTCGGGTTTCTACGTTGCGGTTAATTAACGACTCGATGATTAGGGTTGTTGAAGATGGAATGTTTTTTGGGTGCTTAGCGTAACCCAAAAGAAACCGAATTTGTGGTGGAATTATTTTTTTAAAATTTGGTATCTGTTTAGGGATTATTGTATGCGTCACTCTGGCCACGAAAGGGTTAATGATTGCTTTCCTTTTTGGGTGCTTAGCTTAACCCTTTTGTGTGTGAATTTTTTTTCCAAATTTGGTATTTATTTAACGATCATCATATGTGACGCTTTAATCACGAAAGGGTTAATCTTTCTTAAGAATGGATGATTTTTTAAAATTATTATCTCCGTGATTACCTTTTTGAAAATGAAAATCTGAATCTTTTAGAAGGAAAATTAGATTAGATACCTTTCTTATGTTCCATAGAAGAAATTGAGTATTTTGTATCGACTCGATAAAGATGCTCGTGACGTCGATCGAGAAAGTTTATTTGACGATGGTTTTGCCCAGAATATGGTAACCAACGCGGAGTCTGTCGAAGTTTATTCCCGAGAAAGAGATGCTCGGTGAGAAGATGGAAGGAGCCTATTTTTGATGATCGTTGAAGGTGACGAGGCGTCCAACGACGCAGAATTCGGGGGAATATTTTTCCGTTGTTTTTGGAGTTAAAAAAGAATCAAACGAGGTGGTCGCTAAGATGATCGAATTTTCAAGAATAATAATATTAGCGATGATGTCATCAATGCTATGTAACTTTCTGCGTAACAATTTCGATGAATTTTTGTAGCAGAAGGTATACAAAAGTACTGTAACATTTCTTTTTCATATAAAAATGACAAAATTTGTCGAATCTAACTGTACACACATTCATCTTAGAAACTACAGTTACTTCTACCATGTCTAAATTTGTCTCCTACTTCAAATCGACATCTTGCGATAACAACGTAATCGCTGTGCAATTTTAACGGTATCAAAACGTTGCAATCGACTTTTGATCAATATCACATGTAAGTTTGCATCTCACACTCGTGAAGCAATCTAGTTCAGCACAGTTTTCTGAATATCAAGTTTTACCTGTCCAGACCTTGGCAAAATTCAGATAACCTGATTAACGTGAGAAATCTATCATTAGAATGACCAAAAGCCAAGTCGATAATGCTCTAGATATTGCAAAATTATGTGAAACCTTATTTATCCAGCTTATATCAATTCTCAAAAAAAGAAAACTAACCATATTACTGTTGCAAATCCACAATTTCACGATTTCTATAACTTAGGACACTTTTAAAAATTGGCGACTTTTATTCTTCAGTGAAAGTTTAGTACACTAAATTTACAGTTTCAAATTTTCATAAGGGAAGCAAAAATGAATAATTATTAAAAAAAATTCTGTAATAAATAAAATTTCAAGTCGTACGGCGTTATAGAGGGCTAACGATCCTCAATGTGAACGTTTATCGAGCCCCGAGCTATTATCACGTCGAAGAAAGCAAACAACGTCTTCATCGAATCGCATCATTTTCGCGAACCCTGTTTCAATTACACGCCTCGAGAAAATACATGGTTTACATCCTGCATCCTGTTTCTTGTGATGTAAACGAACAATCCTTCGTACCTCTCTTCTCTGCCTGTATATTTTAAATTCATATAAGATAACGGTGTCAGGACACGCGTAAGCTAATATTGTTCGTTCGTGGACAAAAAGGGGACATGATAGAGAGAGAGTGCGAAACGAAGAAATTACCGTCTCGAGTCGATACGTGCGTTACGTGTTTACCGTTACCATGATCCTCTGTGACTCGTGCGAATCTCGTGGTGCACAGGCAAGATTCCGTTTGTTCCTGCAGATTCGTGCCAAATTTCCGTATGTTTCTCGTACACCTTTCACACGATTTCAAAAAGTAAAAACAGTTATCGTCGATCTGTCTCACAGTGGTTCCTTGGACACTTCGATTTCTACAGTAAAATTAAGAATGCAAGGTTTTATTGTCGTGTGGAACCTGGTCGTTGTAGCAATTGAAGGTTAACCCTTTCAATTTTATTTCACACACTTTTGGGGGAGGTCCTTAGATTGCAAATTGCCAAAAATTTTGTGACATATCTAGACTACAATTAAGCCAAAATTAAATTAAATAAAATAGGTAAGCTCTAAGTTTCGAAATTTCATTAGGCTTTCTTCAGTTGAAACATTATTTGAGATGTTTCTTTTTGGGTCCATTTTCATCTAATGGGATTTTAATAAAATAGAGGATAGGATAAAGAGGATAATAGGTTTTTTTCTGGAAATATTCCACAGTGGAATCTCAAAGGGTTAAGAGATTTTTTGAATATTTTAATTTGACATAATTCGTTGGAAAATTCAATAATCTGTAGTTCAAAAATTTTACTAAAATAATCTCATAATTTACAAATTATAAAATCCTGTATTCTACAATGATTCATCCTTTGAAAAGGACTCGAAGGCAGTCTGTGTTGAGAAACCGACAAATGTTCGCCTTTTTGGTACGTGTTTTATTTCAAAAATATCACCGCTCGTGCAGAATGAAGTCATTGTGCAGGAGATATTCCTGCGTGGACCTCGAATTATGCTTACGTATTTACTATCAATTAGAAACGTGTTCTTGCTATGCCGTTTTCCTTGAAGATCCTCGATCGAGGCTACGTTCCATCGGGCAGAACATTGGGGAGCGAGGAGAATGGCTGGTGGCTATCGATTCAACGTTCATTGATTCGTTGAACATGATTTCTTGGTATTGTTACAATCACTTGATACGCGTCGCGTTACGCTACTGTTCGACGCGTACGATCACGTTCCACGATTAGTATAAGTAAATGCATATGAGAGGTATGAAGTTTAATTCGTATGAATTGTACCGTTGACATCGATATCTTCCCAATGGAATTCAGTTTACAGTCTTCTCCGTAAGCTATCAATTTTTTTTTTTTAATTTGCACATTTAGCATACATTTATAATTTTCTTTATCGTGGCGAATGAGGAAAGTGAGAAAGAGTGGTGGAGAATAGAAACTCTCAGAAAGTTGAGCAAACTTAATTTTTTAAAATTTCAAATTAAATTTAAATTTCTTTAAAACTTTGTTCTGAAGTTTTTGAAAATTTTAAATTGGATTTAAAATTGTTTTTTTAAATTTCAAATTACATTTAAAGTTCTCTAAATATTGCAAGCAAAATTCATAACTGGAAAGTTGCTTCAATTATTATTATTATGATTAGTGGTTACGTATTATGGTTTGAGCGGAAATGACGGTCTTCGAATTCTGTTATGCACGTGGAATTCTCCTTCGGCACATTCACACATTTTTCCGCAATTTACCTTAATTCATCGGAGAAAATTGATCGTAAAGCATCAGAGTTGTCGTTGACTTTATTGTTTCCGCAAAATTTGTTCCACGATCATGTAGCGTGACTTCCGTATGACCGTGGTTTTACGAGCTCCTCGAGCTCTGCCCTGCAATTTACCTACATTCTGCCCGTAGGTATAAAAAATATTTCTTCCACTTAAGGATACGCGTTGGCATCAGATGTGTGTACAACTTCCTGGAATTCGGAAGGGAATCTACCTTGTCTTGCTGCCTTGAATTTTCACTTTTAACTCCTTGAGGAATTGCTAATCATTGTCCACTGTATTTAAAGAAAAAACCCACCAGATATGTAGTTTTGCAAAATTTCTCAAAAATATCTCGAAGAATCTTGGAAGAAATTAAGAAAAAAAAAAATTTTTAATTTTACATTTTTAATTAATAAATCTTTGAAATATTGAAATAATAATATTGCAAAATTATAGGAATTCTGTATATTTTTAAAAAAATAACATTTTGATAACTAAAAAATTGTTTGCTCAAGAGTTTTCTTAGCGACACTTACAATGTTTGATTCTGAAGAATATTTGACTAAGTTCCAGTAATCAAATTTCAATTTATCGTTGACACAGATGATCCTGACGTAGCTGATCGAGGATGGCTTCTATCATGGGGCTACAGCAGCCAGCTGCATCCCAGGATACCGTGGATTATGCTGGATATTTGCAGTCGACGCAGTGCCATCAGATCCATGGAAGTCAAGCAAATGGACAAATCCAGTCCACGCAAAAATCACCGTCTAACGATCATAATACCAGCTTTACCAGCACCAAAGGATTGCTCAATGGACCCGGGCAGAACAACTGTTTCCTCAATAGTGCCGTTCAGGTAAGTTCGATCTCTTTTTGTACCAGGAAGAAGTGAACGATCTTCGACACAATTTTTTCAGTATACAAATATTTTTTCATTTTTCTCGTAAATTTGTCAACTTTTGAAATACAATCACACGATACAAGATGAGTTGAATTAATAGGGATTATAATATTAGTTTCACATGGATAATTGAGAAATGCGAAAATCTGATGAATGTATCGCATTTTGAGTGAAGAGTAATCGCATTATTTAAGAAAATTACAATTTTCTCAATCATTCAACCCTAGTGCGGTCCTCGGGTCTTTTTTGACCCAGACTCTTTGGGTCTTCTCTGACCCAGATTCTTTGGGTCTTCTCTGACCCAGATTCTTTGGGTCTTCTCTGACCCAGATTCTTTGGGTCTTCTCTGACTCAAAGTCTTTGGGTCTTTTTCGACCCAAAGACCTCAAATACCAGGGTTAATAACACAGTCTAAAGATTTCAGAGAAAAAGGCTCAGAAAAACTGTTCTTTCACATATACACCGATTACTCCGCGAATCAACTATTCCATTGCTTTTTCCTATCATTCGAACACACCGGCAATTCCTCACCAGCTTGACAATTTATTCCGCGCATCCACAAAAATGGTGAACACGCGTCGCGGGTAATAGCCTCGAAGCGTATAAACTACAATCAGAGATCGACTTCCTGCTTCGTAAATTACCCACGTCATTACCGGTTCGGCCTTTACATCACCGATCGAACTCTCCTAACCGTCGGATTCTCCTGTGCGTCGACGCGATTTATCCGCGAGTCTTCGACGGAAAATTCGTTCGAAGTAGGAACGAACAGCGGCGAGGTCTCTCTCCTCTGCTGTGCTTCATTAATGGAAATAATTCCGCGGCGTGAAAAGGTGCCTTCTTCCCACGGACCGTTAGAATTTATTATGTCGATCAGAACTGTTTTTCCCAGGTTTTGTGCGGCCACGTTGTGTCCGATACCCTGCGTAGCGGTAATTGTAACATCCGCAGGAAGCAATTACACACGGCCGCGCTCGATTAGAACAATCGATCGGAATCGAGATTGGAATAAACGGCCGGTGGCCAGTTACAAAGGAGGCTCTACACTCCCCACTCACTCTGTCGATCGGTGCTTCGGCTTCTCGTTTCGCGGGGATTACGTGACGTTAATCGCGCGCGGCTCGATCCAGAAAGCTCCGACTGACTCTCTCCCGGTGTTCTTGGAGTAATTCGAGTAATGGCCCTGGCTTCTGACTCTCCGGCACCACGCAAACGCGTTTCTCTAATGCGGAAATCCCCGGCTACGTTCTCTCTCTCTGCTCGCTCGTTCACCCGGTCAATCGTTATTTTTTCCCGGGAGATCGACAATGCGTGATTGATAGTTTAAATCTGGCGCGTGTGACTTGGTTCGTTTTTTCATTTGCAAAGTGCATTCGGAGAAGCGAGTGCGTGAAAGAGATTGCGATATTGAGAGAATCTTCCTTTTTTTTTCTGGA